CGCTTCCGTAGTAATACCTTAATATTGTCGATAATTTAAAATATAATATGTGACCTCTGTGAGTGTGTGTGTGTAAGAGAGAGAGAGAGAGAGAGAGAGAGAGAGAGAGAGAGAGAGAGATTAAGGGGGTGCCACCCATTTTGAGTTTGTTCTGGGTAGGTTAGAGGTTATCAATATGGTACGCAAGTACATGTGTGTGTGGGGGGTCAGCAATTTTGTACTACTGCGTACTAATTTTAAAAATAATTATACTTTTAAGTGAAATTATGGACGGGGGGCTTACTGTGTACATAAATGGGAGGGGGGGGGACATTCACACTGTACATGCTCCTCCATGATATTCAACATCACACCCTCTAATTTGTGAACGGACCCTAAGAACATACAGACAAAAACCATGTGCTTTTCCAGTAACAATACCTTCAGCTCATTTTACAGTAAAACCAAAAATTGTCATGTCATGAAATCGAGTATAAAGGTTATACTGATATGACTTATACAGTAATATGAAACACAAATGCTTATATTATGGTTCCTCCGGGGCGTTGATGGACAGCATCAAGACAGATGTAAATCAGCATTGTCCTAATCTGGAATAAAAAATATATGAAAACGGCACAAAATATCCGCAATGATATAATGGCGCGTCATTCGTTTACATTCGAAACAAGCTTGTGATTTTTGTACTCCACTCCTACCATGCATCCAGAAGCCTGACTGACTATTTAGAAAATCCATCTAGACCACCTTCATTCTTTGGAGTTGTTCTCAGACAGAGTGAATGAGTTTAGTTTTACGTCGTTTTTATACAATATTCCAGCAATATCACGACAGGGAACACCAGAAATGGGCTTCACACATATTGTACCCATGAGAGGAATCGAACCCGGGTCTTGAGCGTGACGAGCGGACGCGTACTACCAGCTATAGTCTACCCCATCGCCCCTCCTCACACAGAGGATGTGTCGGATCGGATCAATTGAAACTGATTCAAAGGAGATTGAACTTTGAAAACTGAACACCGACCCATGTATATTGGGGATGCAAGCATATGGAATTGATAACATTGTGCAACTGTCTTCTGAATACCCTGTCGTTGATCGATCCATTGCTAAAATGTCTCGGAATTTCCATTTTTCACCAGAAAAACACAAGTATCCACAAAGTTTTGATATTATACTGACACTTCTCGTAATTAAACGATAATAATAACTGTATTGTACTCTTGTGCTAAAAATAAGCTCAACACAATAGAACATTAGAAATGCCTGCATGTTATGTGTTGTGGTACTTAGATATGCATACACGGATTTAGTTAATGTAGTAAAGGACAAGGTATGATAAGGGCCCTTATTGGCCCACAAAATTTCATGATATTCAAAGTTCTACAACATGATAATTTTAGCATAAAAAATGCTAAATAAATTGTTGAAATTACCTCCATATGCCTTTTTTATGTTTTAGTGCTGGGTTTTTTCCTCTTTGAAGACCTCAAAGTTTACCTATTTTACAATATCTTCGAAAAACCTACATTTTCATACTTTCAGAGTGATAAAAAAGTGTGAGCAAAAGCATGACCCGTCCCAATTTTTTCACCGCACATGAAGAGAGTAAATTAGAATGCACTCCTAAAAAATTGTGGTGGGTCACGCTTTTGCTCATATCAAAATGTTTAAAAAAGTACATTTTTCTGTTATATGAAATTGCCCCATACAACATCTCAAAAATAAACATTGGCGTAAAGTAATATCTCTGAAAACTATCCGTCACATTTACACAACTATACCAGATTCATTATTTATTTTGAATGTTTTAGAGCACTAAAATGAACTTATCAAGCATGTTTATTAAACAATTCAATATCGTAAGGGACTCTCCAGGCTGATTACTTTGAGGTAAGCAAGGGTAGTTTTTTTGAGACCCTGTTGATCGTCTGCTGGAAAAGTAAGAAGACATGAGAAGATTTTTCAAAATATGATCAGGCAGCATTCTAAAGGTGAGAATCTTTGTAATTATGCTAGAATTTTATCATATTTGTTCTATCATCTGTTTAGCAAACCCCTCTGTGTCAACTGGCACTGTCAAATAACACTGGCATTCCACAGGATGTAACTGTGTATAAACATACACATTTTAACAAAAATAATGTACCTTGATGTTTTCTAGGATATATTAGGCTACATTTAATATTGTTAGAATAAGAACATTGTATCATGGTCTAGCAGATAATGAAAAGCAAGCAGACGTCAAGTGACACATTGTTGCAAGGTGTAATATATAAGCTTAAAATGACAAGAGGTAATAGCAGAATTTGTAGCCTAGTGGTTACAGTGATGACCTATCATTTTTTTTTTTTTTCTGTTATCAGACATGCAGGTTCAAATCCCGATGGGTTTTTTTCTTTTCTCTTTTTCTCTAAAGTTTGGTCAGCCAATTTACAATGTTTAACTGAACTTGTACACATGAAATCCAAATGTTATCAAAAATGTTTTCTTAAGTTTGGTAATGTAAGTTACACTATTCAAACAAACTTGAATTAACATCATGTAAATCTTGTTTAAGCCTAAAGACACTGACTTTTCCACTCTGTCTCGTTGCCTTTGTTCCCACACAATAAAGAACCTGGAGAAGGTAAGCATTGTTTCAAAATGTTAGTATGGTAAATATTTACAAACTGCCCAGAGCTGTTAATTAGTGGTGTACTGATCAAACAAATAATTAGTTTATGGATATTTTGTGGGCTTCCAGTCAATCACCGATAACCAAAACACATAATCAATTAATGCGTTCACTATTTCTTCTTAAAACTATGTTTACAGAATCAATGACTATTGGTTTCAATTGTCATATTGAAACTGAGGACTGATTACCTTTGTTTTCATGTGCTCTAACAGCTGTTTTTATCTTATATCTATAATTGATCAAAAGGTGGCCTCAACAATTGATTATGCTATTGGAGGTCAATTCCCTTCCCTATATAACTATACTATTGACATATTTAGCATTAGAAAAATTAGAAAGCACCAATTTCTTGAACATAATGATAATTCTTTTATGATTTCAAATATTTGTTTTCAGATAAGAGAAATTTGCTTGGTCTGATTTCAGGAGTGTCATTTCATGAAGATGACAACTTAAAACTTGAGGTTGAAGGTAAGCATAATATGTGTGTTAAAAAATAATCAATATTAATTTTTTTTCAATTTTGTAATTTAATGTGACTGAATTTCAGAAATACTGATGCCTTAGTGGTGATTAAATCTGCATAAGCCTTCAAAGCCAGACTACTGACATTTGATAATAAATAATTAATATTACCCTTGAATAGATTTATAATATCAAAGTTTTAAAAACAGAATTCTCTTTTTGATATAAAGTCATCTGTTTTCAGTTGTGAGAAGATCTGGGTATGGCAGACACCAAGACAATATGCCTGTTTCCAGCAACTCTAGTGATACATGGTTGAATGCTGCAGTTTTTGACAGTGATTCAGAAACTGATTCAGAGATTGATGACCATGTGGATGAAGAGTGAAAGTGGATGTTTTATATATCTTTGTAGTGAATGAGTTGTGAATAATTACTTTTTGAAGATTTTTGAATACTGACTTTTAACACTTACTTGCTGTCAAAATCAAGCTGTGCCAAGAATATAATTTCACCCGAAATGGGCCCCCTTTGAGGTCAAGACCTGATTTTTAGTGCAACATGATTGGTTATTGTAACAACATGTTGTGAATGAGATGTTTACTGTATATTTGCAAGAATGTTGTAAATACTGACTTTTAACACTTACATGGTGTTAAAATCAAGCTGTGCCAAGAATGTAATTTCACCTGAAATAGGCCCCTTTGAGGTCAAGACCTGTGACTTTTAGTAGGACATGATTGGTTATCATAAGTACATGTTGTAAAATTTACCTACAGTTTATATTTGCAAAGAAAATTGTGAATAATGAGTTGTTTTGTAATCAATTGGCAAGTATTTGAATTACTGTCCACAATGTATTGCAACCCTAATTGGGCCCCTTGAAGTTAAAACCTTGTGATTGATGTTGACATGTTTCTTCATCATGAATACCTGATGTAAAACTGATACTATTTGTATGTAAATAAACTGATAGTTGTATATAAGTCATTATGGCACCCTGATATTTCAGACTTCTTGTTATTTTTCATGGGAACTGATAAAACCCATTTTTGGCCCCTCTGCATTGAAATTATGGCCTCAGATCATTTAAAAAATAGCTTTTTTATGCAAAGCTATCTTGTCTCTAAACAAATAACATGTGTTCAGCCAATTCTGTTTGTGGGCCAAAAACCACCCTTATCATACCTTGTCCTTTTAAAGGAATTAGCCGGGTAAGTAAACTAAAACTCTTTACTCAGCCCTTGGCCTCGTCTGCGACTTTCTAATATTGAATATTAGTTACATTGTTACGGTTTATTAAGCACTCAAGGGTGACTGGTTCATATAAATAATGAAACACGATAGAAAATGACACGCTGTCTATGTTTATTTTGTTTTGTAAGAGTTTGTTTACTGGTTTCGTCTTTATACATTTCTACCTGTGTCTATTAATGAAAAATATAATTAAGGGGTAGCGGGGGGATACTTGCTGTGAGAAAAGAATAAAAACAATGTGATAGCATGCATCTATGTCAGTTCCCCCATATGTTCGGCGGTAAGACTGCGGCGCAAAACAAGAAACGAACTAAAGTATAAGGATGAACGCCTCATATTCTTTAGAGTAGCCTCCCTTTCTTCTGACGTAGAAACCGCATAACTCAGACATAAACATCTCATTGCGCATCGTCAAGTAGACTATATTGTCAAACGCGAACAGATTTATATTTTCTTCATAAACGTACCATAATTATCATACCATAAAAAGTTATCAATTCGTACACATCAAAGCTTAGCATGTTAAATCAAAACAGATATTCTTTGATTTTCTGTTATAGTTATAGATTGTTGCGCAAACCGGAAAAAGTTCTTGAGTTACGTCCCTTGGTCGGTCCTACCCACAACTCGAGAATCATTTGACAATGTCTTCAAAGGCAGAAAAAGAACGCACGAAGCTTTTACAGGATAAATTCCAAGCCATTTTATCAAGTCTTCTTAAAGATGACGATAACAAATACTGCGTTGATTGTGACGCGAAGGGTAAGATAAATATATAATCGGCGATTCCACACGCGGAAATTGACATGTTGTGTCTCTATTTTGACGTCGTGGCCAGGAGAAAGCCTGTCACTTGTTCTAAAACCGACAAGACACGAGAAATAGCAGATAACATATGGTGAATGTCATATATTTCTTTTAATGAATACGACTTTGGGTTTTATGTTTTACTGTTTTCATTGTAATGAATGAAACCTCTGTTTATCCTGAAATTAACACCTGTTATAATTATGAATCATACAACACCCCCTTTTCATAGGTTTACCTTGTGCTGGTTATTAATAGTACACATTTAAGCGTAATTTCCATCTGATAAATCTGTAACCTTAAGAAAAGTATGAGAAAGTTATTCCATTTCATTGTATGAAAGCCATATAATTTTCATCCTTGACCTCCACCTGCTACATAGTCGATGGAGACTAGGAGTTAAAATTACTGTCAAATTATTGATCAAGATAATTATCGATCAAGATAATTATTGATCAAGATATTCAAGATAACAGGTAAATTTAATCTTCATTGGTATCCAAGATAAGACTAGTGTTTATTTTTTTCATATTCTCATAATGGAGTGTTTGAAATTATCAATGACAGTGGAGGGATTCTTGTCATAACATTAACATTCAATTTTAAAGATTTGGTTTTATTTTATTCATGTTCCATCTAATAGTATCTGACAATTATGCTCTGGATGCTGTTGTTTTTGAAACTGAATCATGTTAAATTAGAAGCACACATTTTAATGTCCTTTAATTTGTAGGTTGAGCCAACAGTTCTCAATAATATTTGCGTCTGGACTCTGTGCAGGCCACAACATTTCAGTAATGTCATTTTGTCGTTTGTAATCCTGAACGACACGGGCCTGATGTATAGGGGCGTTGTCATATTGGAAGATGTACCGGGTTTGCCAGAAAAATGTCTAGCTATAACTGGCCAAAGCATATCATCGAGGATTTCTGTGTATTTCTGAATATTTATGTTGCCATTAACAACACAAATGGTACAACCCCACACCATCAAACTGACGCGTGACTGTCGTCCCGGACAAAGACATTGCAGGAGGTATTCTTCACCGGGCTGTCTCCAAACAAAAACACGATTGTTTTCCCCAATGATAATTTTACACTCGTCAGAGAAGATTACTCAAATCCAGTGATTATTCACTGTACGATATCGTTGCGCCCTTGCCCAGGCCTAACGATTTCTGACATTATAGTCACGAATTCGGATTTTCTTTCTAACATAGTATTAGTAACAACACGTCTATGAAATTTATTTTCATATAATCGTCTCCTTACAGTCCTTACAGTGATACACATGTAACCCTATTGTTGTTCAAATTCTCAGTTATTTCACCCAAAGGTGAAATCCTATTGTCTCTGACCAACCTCAAAAGTTGTTGATTGTCCCGAGGAGTCAGTTTTCATATGACCTGTTCTGGGCGCATTCTTAACTGATCCACATCGATTAAGCTGCTGTAACACCGAATATACGCTGCTTCAAGGCATTCCAAAGAATCTTGCAATGTTAAAACATTTTTTGCCACTTTGAAACTTTTTTATAATTAATTTCTAAAGTGGATCCGACAAATCAGCCGATTTCCCCATTGTTGCCGGGAATAGCCAGAATATGTAGCAGACGACAAATAGATTAAAAATAGAGTCACATGACAGACACGTGACATCATGGTCGATCATGTTAGAAAATATTACGATGATACTTGGTGTCATTTTTGACTCGCAATTTGAGTAGCAGTAATTTAAAAATGGACATCGCTATATACGATATCAACGCCATTACAATTGTATGTAATAATGTGGCCACGCGATGTACATAGTAATTTGTCTTTGGATTGGTATTGTAGGGCCGAGGTGGGCATCATGGAATCTGGGCATCTTCCTGTGTATCCGCTGTGCTGGTATACACAGAAACCTTGGGGTCCACATATCAAGGGTGAAGTCGGTCAACCTGGACACATGGACCCCAGAACAAGTGGCCGTAAGTATATCGCAAACTACTGACAGTACTGTACTATCTTTGTGGTTCAGGGTTGGCTCTGGCTTGACTGATGATGAATACCCCACTCAATAATTTTACCAAGCCCAATTTACACTTCATTGTATTTACATCATGGTATCTTGTAGGATTGTAGCAGTAGATTGAATAATCCTTGTGTTTTTTAAGTTGTTTGCTCTGGGATTATAAGATTTCGATATAGAAAATAAAAATGCCACTAGTGTTGTCAACAGTGACACAGTAAGAACAGTCTGTGTGTGTGTGTACTGAAGTGTACTATAATAAATGTAGTAGTCTTGACCATTTTATCTCTCCTCACGTGGTTGTGGTGCCATGTATTACAGACTTACACAGAAGTGGATATGCCACCTCAGGTCATCCATACTGAGCAGTGTGGTTCAACAAAATAGTATTAACCCAAATAAAATGGTGGTCTTTTATCATGTGCATCCAGAACATGTCGGTTGTTTTTGTTTCAGATGATGCAGGAGGTTGGCAACAGCCGTGCAAGGGCTGCATACGAGGCTAACATCCCTGATAGCTTCCGCCGACCACAGACAGATTCGTATCCTAAACAGTCACACCAAATGATCTTGACATAAACAAAGACATTAGGAGAATTGTTTATGTTTGTTGGGGGCGATGGGTAGCCTAGTGGATATAGTGTTGGCTCATCACACCTAAGACCCGGGTTTGATTCCCCTCATTGAACAATGTGTGAGGCCCATTTCTGATGTCCCCCACTATGATATTGCTGGAATATTGTTAAAATCAGCGTAAAACCGTACTCACTCACTCACTTATGTTAGTTGGATATTGAATTAAATGGAGACATAAAATTTTGTTAATGTTCTGAAACAGACCATTGCTGTTTCCGGTTTTAGATTATTTCTGGCATGTTTGAGATTATGAATTGCATATATATATTCAAACACTATAACACTAAAGTTCAGTGACCATCTCAACATATTCTTTTGCTTACTTTTTTAGTCTATGTTTTACAATGTTGAATTGAACAATAAATATGGTATTAAATTTCCAAGCCATGTGCATAATCCAAAACACTCCAGATGATACCGTTTAGTTGCTGATTTGGGGCAAAGAATATAAGTTTTCATTCTCTTATAAATATGATTATCCCTATCAGGACATGTGCGTGATATATTCAACATTGGATAGTACATTCTTCTATATAACATCATTACCATACAATACAGATAGTCAAATGTCATGCAAATAAGAATGAAAGATGTTTGTTTGAGAATCAAAATCAGTGTTATTTTGAGGAATACATACTTGACTTCTGTTTTTGACAAAAAGCAATTTAACATCAGTAATATACCTATGTGCAGACACATGATTTATTTCATTATGAGAAACTAAAGAATGTTTGTAAACACAATAAGACACTTGGAAAGAACATGGATAAGGGTGAGAAGATAACATCCATTACAATAGGATGTAAACATTATAAAATGCATAAAACATGTTAATTGGCATAGAATCCATGTGTATCGCTTTAGCCTATAAATAGTAGGGATGAACAATCCTGATCTGACAGCTGATTAAAATCAACAGTCAGAATGACACAGTGACACTGATGCATTGGCTGTTCCAAAGGACATGGTAAATGCAGCTAGACATGTTGAAGGAAGCTATGGTTGTGTTGAACCACCAGAATTTCAAAATCGAAATTGCAAGAAAATATTAATAGGGATTAACGGTGGGCTGACTTCACAAGAAATATTAATACAGCTGTTAATGACACTACTGAGGGGAATATTTCCACATAGCTGCAACCAGTGGCAACAGATGGCGCTAGTCTAGATTAATTTATGCAGCTTTCGTTCTGCTATTCTCTCCGCTATTTGCAGCATCTGTTTTATAATGTAATTCTTGTTACTTTTTTTAATGCATCATTCATCGTGTTCATGCTTTATACCAGAGACATACATGAATGGGATGACCAGACCATGCTGTAGTTTTTGCGGTGACTCATTCATTTTTACATGACAATACATTTTCAAGTTAGCAATATTTTCTTGTCTGTCACCAGAAGGAATTTTGAAGTTACTAGGATTTCGTAATTGAGTTTCGTTTAGTTTATACAGGAATTTTAAAGAAATTTTCCAAATGGTGTCATCAGGATATATATTATTTTATAACATGTTTCCTTGACGAACAGCAGAGCACTTGAGGCTTTCATAAGAGCCAAATATGAACATAAGAAATATCTTGCACGGGAGTGGGGTTCCACCTAAACCAACTATACCAAAAGAGGTAAGTTGATCTGTCTCCATGGCAACAGCCTTGATCACTTTTTTCTGGTTTCAAAATCTGTCAAATGATAATCATTATTACCATGATGACCCACATGGCATGAGGTGTCATTGATTTTATGACTGAGTATAGATATTAATAAATTTGCATGTATACCTTATCAACAAATAAATATTTGGCAATGCATTGAGGACCGCCTCCGTGGTGTAGTGGTTAGAGCGTCCGCCCGGAGAGCAGAAGGTCGCGGGTTCGATCCCCGACCGCGTCATACCAAAAGACGTTAAAATATGGTACTTGTTGGTCCCTGTCTGGCGCTCGGCATTAATGGGTACAACAAGGCTCGGAGTCAGTATAATGTGTCTGAGTGGGGTATTCATGCTTCACTGCGGCATGGTATCTCAGTGGGCTAGCACTATAAAACCAGCTTAAGTCTGGGCTAGTACAAGCAGCCGCACCTACACATACACACGCATGCACGTCGTCATATGAGCGAAATATTCTCAAGCACGACGTTAAACCCAATTTCACCTCACCTCACCTCACCGCAATGCATTGACATCTTGACACATGATCACTACCCTAACTAACATTTTTTGTTAATTCATATTTTAGCAAAATATTTGTGAAAGTGCACAGCAAGGTGTTTTCTTTCAACAATTCATGCTATCATGATATGATCTATGTTAATAGGTAGAGCTGTGTATCGGTGCCTAAGTGGCGAGACGATATATCCTGATACCAGTTTAATGAGGCGAGGCGATATATCATGAAAGTATTGGCAAGGATCCCGCGAGACAATTATCATCATGATACAATGATTGCGATTCTAAAAAAAGGACATATATGATAGATAAAATGACTGAATCTTTATTTGTTATACAGCAGAACAGGTGTTACATTCACACACACTTAAAAGGCTGTTCATGTAATAAAGTTTCAGCATTTAATGCTTAAGAAACTACAATCAAACATATTCAGTATACCTTGATCTAGGTTTCCCTTGGAAAGTGGTTTCTGCACCAATGCTTTCACAGACAATTCAATGTAATTTATACAAATTTCATCTTCTCTTTCTTAACAAAGCGGGTCGGTGGGGTAGCTAAGCCTAGTGGTTAAAGCGTTGGCTTGTCACGCCGAAGACCTTGGTTCGAATCCCCACAAGGGTACAATGTGTGAAGCCCATTTCTGGTGTTCCCTGCCGTGATGTTGCTGGAATATTGCTAAAAGTGGTGTAAAACCAAACTCAGTCAGTCAGTCTTAACAAAGCTAAGACATCGTCCATAGTTGTTAGTAAATGGTGTTATTTGCCAAACAACTAAAACATGTTTCAATTACTTAAAGACAAGTCTTTTACAGTTCACAGAGATTGAAAAATGTTCACATTCTTTCACTGATACACCAACTCCTTTTTTCATGCAACAAAGATGACAGACACAAACAAATTCCTATAAGGCTCTTCAGTTTGTTATTAAAATTTGGAAGTATTTCAAAGAGACTCCCTTCCTAATCCTAATGCAATGCTCCATACTTTGAGTAGTATTTAAGTAGTATCGGGATATATCGTCTCTTGTGGCGATACATCGATGTATCATGGACCCTTGAGATATAAATATCCTGATATATTGCCTAAATGTGTTTTGTATTGATGCGCTCGTATCGCGTAGTTGACGATGCAGACATCGATACTATCGATGAATCGTTACACCACTATTAATAGCACATTTTAATTATACTTTCATAAACTTTTCATGTGACATTTTTGTTTATTATGATTTTGATGATGACCGAAATTAAAGAACTTTTGGATGTAGTGAGATACGATCCGTCATTGTCCAAGATATTGAACAGATCTGAAAGCCTGGTTATTGTAAGAGTTTCTCCTCATTGTTTGAAAACTCTAATGGTAATCAACGCCAGATGCTCTTCACCTTGGTAAACTGTTTCAAGAAGCTGACATCCATGTCCCATCATGTCTTCACTGTATAAGTACCAGCCTACGTGAAATCAAAATATACAATGGTCTCACAGGAAATTGACACTTAAGACTCTAGAGACCGTTTCCGTGCAAGGGCAAAGTCCTTTGATAATGTTGGAATTTGTGAATTAACAGTTCAAGATCAAATCTTCAAATGTTTTGCATCTTTTCTCTATGAAATCTTCATAAACAAATTTCCTTTGTAAATTGTGTCTGAAGCCAAAGAGTGAGGTAAGGTGACATGGGATATGGCAGCGGTTGGTGATGGGATATGTGTTCTGTTCTTGTTTATGGTTTAATAAGATAGTACCCATTGTGGTCTACCAGGGTTACCCCATACCAGTTACAACCTTCCTGTAGTTGCCACACATTACTTCAAGCAGTTATGGTAGTCTGTTTACTACAAAACATTTATTGTAACAGGCCCGACTGTGAATTAATCTCATGACAGAAGAACCAATAAGAAATATTGCTCTTGCTTGTCGTTATTGTGTATGAATGAAGTTCAAAATAAATATTCTTTTTACAGATACATAATCATGATAATCATAGTTACACTTGTTACTGTGCTAACGCATAAATATCAGAGCTACATCTATTCACTTTAGAGGATAAAGAAACATGAAAGCCTTCTCATGTTTCATGAATGTACAACCCTTGCAGATCCGGGTTAGAATTGATCTGCAGTAACCCATGCTTGTCGTAAGAGGCGACCAACGGGATCGGGTGGTCAGGCTCTCTGACTGGTTGACACATGTCATCGGTTCCCAATTGCGCAGATCGATGCTCATGCTGAACACTGGATTGTCTGGTCCAGACTCAATTTTTTACAGACTGCCGCCATGAGCTGGAATATTGCTGAGTGCGACGTAAACCTAAACTCACTCACTCATTCATGAATGTACCAGTACCACAGCTTGTTATTAAATAATGCAATACATTGTACAATCTATGTACTGTTTGGTCTCATTGGTCCTGATCCACAAGAGGGGAGATGGGGTAGCCTAGTTATAAGTGGTTAAAGCGTCTGGTTGTCACACCGAAGACCAGGGTTTGATTCACCACATGGGTACAATGTGTGAAGCCCATTTCTGAAGTCCCCCACTGTGATATTGCTGGAATATTGCTAAAAGTGGCGTAAAAACAACCATACTCACTCACTCACTCACTCACTGATCCACAAGATAAACACTTGAGTGTGAGTGTACTACAGTTGTGTATATTTCAAGGTCATTATGAACATTTTGGTGAGGGAATGTCAGCAGCAGGATTGTTGATGCATGTAATTATCTTATGTAAACTTCCATGTCCTACTGTTAGATAGACTCCCGGACCCATTCCACAAAAGCTGACTTAGCGCTAAGACGATCGAAACTCTCAAACTTTAATATGGGCTTATGATCGTTTTAGTGCCAAGATTGCTGTGTGGATTGGAGCCATGGAGATTTGTATTTTTGATTATGGTTCCAGCATGTTTTCAATCCCTCTACAATGATTTTTTACTTGTGGGAATTTGTTATGATTTGGTTATATATTATTTGTTAGCCCTTTGTTTAATTTGTGGTAATTAGAATAAACACATTCTTTATCAAGGTTGTTTTGGAGTATTAATGTTTCTGTCATTCAAAATGCAAGTATAGAAGGAAGTGTTTTTTTAAGAAATAGTTCTGAATTTAATTATCAGACGAATTGATAGGAACTGTTGAATTGAACAAGTTGAATTTACATAATATAGTAATATTTTAATGTTTAGATCACATCCTTTCAAAATGTTACTGGGTGGAATAATATCTCACTAAGACTATTTCAGACTGCTGTATTTCCTCTGGCACCAAGGTGTACAAAGTTGGTGTCCAGAGTTGCTTGCCAGGATTTGTTGATAATCATGGTTGCTAAATCCAATAGTATTCAGGGTTCGAAATACCCCATATATTAGTGTGCCATGGCACGGTAAATATTGAAATGGCACGGCTAAAAAATGTTCTCGGTGCCCTTTTGACACGCCTTATTTTTCAGAGACATCACTCACATTTAGTCATTTAATCCCCCAAACAATTATTTTTTTCCAAATTGAATAATACCATACATTCTAAAAGCATGTGGGCATACTCAATTTCTGAAAGGCACACCTAAAATATTTGTCTGGTGCCCTAAGGCACACTTAGAAAAAAAAGTATTTCTATCCCTGGTATTACTACAAGTGTATTTAGTTAGATCATATACATATGTATTTCTATGACATTGTTGCTAAACTGTTTATAAAATTCTTTGAATTTAGCAATAGGTTTTGTATTGTATTTGTAGTGTTTTCGTATACATGTGTAATCCTTGTTGTCTCGGACATGTTCCATGTTACGAGGTGTATCTATGTTCACTGTCAAATGTTCTGATTTCAGTGGCTAGAAGATGATAGAGAAAAGAAACGTTCTAAGTCCAAACCAGCTTCTACCATCCAACTCAGCTCAGTAAGTAGTGCATTAGTGGGATGTTCTTATTTCCCAGACCGCTTCCGTGGTGTAGTGGTTGGAGCGTCCGCCCGGAGAGCGGAAGGTCGCGGGTTCAATCCCTGACCGCGTCATACCAAAAGACGTTAAAATATGGTACTTGTTGGTCCCTGCCTGGCGCTCGGCATTAATGGGTACAACAAGGACTGGTCGGCTCGGAGTCAGTATAATGTGTCTGAGTGGGGTATTTCTGCTTTACTGCGGCATGGTATCTCAGTGGGCTAGCACTATAAAACCAGCTTCAGTCTGGGCTAGTACAAGCAGGCGCACATACACATAAACACGCATGCACGTCGTCATATGAGCGAAATATTCTCAAGCACGACGTAAAACCCAATTTCACCTCACCTCTTATTTCCCAAGTCAAACATTCATACATATCCCTGTTCAGGGTTAAATCTCGGAACATGAACCACAAATAATGGCTGAAACGCTGCCCGTGTTGGCTTGTAGGACTTATTTGTGGATCTAAGGTTATACTGGAATCTCTGTGCTAGTTACAAGCTTGTTTGCAGGTCGATCGTTTCATGTGTCTCAGGTGTGGTTGGAAACTTGTCTTATGGGGCTTCTCATTGATGTGAATACTTAATAGTCAAGTAATACAATTGAAATGCTGGTCCTGTATTTAAAACAAACTATGCGTCAGAGTGTCGGGTCTGTGACGCCATGAGTAAATGAAAACAAACTCACACTGTAGATCATCATGTCTTGTCTTTAGGTCCCCAAATCATCAGCCAGCAGCTCCAGCTCCAGCCGAGAGAAGAAGTCGTCCCCGGAACAGGCCAAATCTCCGACCAAGTCCCCACCCCCAGTCCAGCAGCCACAGCCAAGCACAGCTGCTGCAGACCTCATTGGTCTAGGTGAGGAGATGTCTTATATTTACCTGTACTGTAAATTTAGATCACGGAGATACCTGGAGATATAGTGTCGTTGTACACAGCATGATCATCACTTTAACCTTGTTGAGGAGATATCTTTCATGTGCCTGTCTGTCAAGATCAGGGTTAAAATTGGTCTTTAGCAACCTATGGTTGAAGTAAGAGGTGACTAACGGGATCAGGTGGTTAGGCTCTCTGACTTGGTTGACACATGTCATCGTAATTCCATTTGCATAGATTGATCTTCATGATGTTGATAACTGGATTGTCTGGTCCAGACTCGATTATTTATAGATTACCGCCATATAGCTGGCATATTGCTGAGTGCTGCGTTAAACAAGTAAACAAAATAAAAACTTACCTGGTACATTCATCTGTGCTGTTAAGTTAGGTATTAGAGATACCTGGTTGAATAAAAAACACAAAGTGTCATTGTCTTACACAGTGTGATGATCACTTTAGCCCTGTTGAGGCGATATCTTACATTTACCTGTCCTGTAGATTTAGGTCATTGATATACCTATATGAACATGATTGAAATAGTTAAATAGAGGTAAATAAAAACAATTGTTTTCGTCATATTTTTGTTTACCATTTGTTTGTGATAATGGATTTCAGTTATATTGAATAATAAATTTTGTATGAAACCCTTGGTGAGTTTTTCAGCTTGTATAAAGATATTTGAACAAAAGTTGCATTTAAGCAGTTCTGAGCATTGTATCAAACTTGGTGACATTTGTAAATGATATTGAATGAACAGTAATCATGGTAATTATTTACCTTTGCCGTTTATCATGAAATTTAATGCAATTTATGAAAGCTACATTGGACATTTGACCTATTACATGTTTAAGTTCAGGTAGAGTCTGTGTCCTCCAGGCAGTGGTCATGGTGGTGGTAGTCGTTAATTTCAGCTACACGTGATTGTAGACAAAAAGGATTAAAATATTACTGATTGATTTTCATGCTTCAATGTTTGAAGAAATTAAAATCACGTTACTTGAGAACAGTTTGAGACTCATTAATTTCTGCCTATTTCCATGCATAGTTCATGTTCAGGTTTGTGTGCTAACTCCCATGATGTAACATTCTGTACCTGCTTTGTTGTAACAGAGACATATTATATGTCCCAAAGTAAGTACTGATTTCATCTTCTTGCTTATGTTCTTTTCATCAACCTCATTGTTTTTTGTTTGGAAGTATGCTCGAGACTTGACCTTAGGTATGTGACATACTGGCATAGAAGTTAATGGCTAACATAGAAATTAATATGGGGCATTATTACCTGGCCTCATTCCACTTGATTCTCAGGGGCTGTGGGGTAGCCTAATGGTTAAAGCGTTGTCTCGTCACGCCGAAGACCTGGGTTCGAATCCCCACATGGGCACAATGTGTAAAGCCCATTTCTGGTGTGCCCCGCCGTGATGTTGCTGGAATATTGCTAAACGCGGGCGTAAAACCAAACTCAGTCACTCAGTCAGCCACTTGATTCTTCTTGAATGACAAGCCTTATTACTCTGCCTGGTGTTAAGTTACTATAGAGTTTTACTTCATTGTCTGTCATGTACTAGAAGCGCACCCAGAGTTGCATTATGCCTGATTACTTCCAGTAAAGAGGAAATGATGTTAGGTTCACAGACCTATGGCTAAGTCTTGAGCACTTGTTCATTCAGTTTTGTTCACTGGAATCTGTTCTCTTTCTGACTGCTGTCTCCTGTTATCTGATTATTTGGTGATGGTAGGGGCCCAGTACAAGTCAGGAGGACCCTGTTCGTCCTGTATTGACTTAGGGCATTATGTCCTAAGTCAGAGATTGTACTAGGTTACTGGGTGAGGTTCTTCTTGACCATTGATTGTTTATTTGATAAAGGGTGCAGAGACCAAGATGCCTGATGCAGGGAAACTGATATAGACTATATAGTTGCCTCCCTTAACCCTGCCAGGCTGTGCTGATCAATGGTTCGACTCCACTGTTTGCTCTGTTGATGGTCTGCAAGACACTCTATCATGCTTTGTGTCCTCATGGCATTCACCAAAGTAGCAGACATTTAAGATGATTTATTCCTAGATTTGCTCCCAGGTTAAGCTGAAAGCTGTGTAAGATATAAACATACAAACCTAATTTATTCACTCAGACAGTCACAGAGTGGAAGGAGGTCGGTTTGATTGAATGTTACATTTATGCATTAAATCATCTCTGATTCTGATTCTGAATGTCTTGATATTGCTATACACTGTTGATATTAGCATGTACTTGTGTAATTCTTTCCAGCACCTAAAGTAGTAGTATACAGTATATAATCTTGATATATTATATGTGCAATAGTGTATAAGAATTGATCAAGTATCAGTTGTTATGTCTTTGGATCCTGTGACCCAAAATTTCATAAACCTTGCATGAAAAGCAAGATCTACTTTTCTTTCACAAAAGTTTCTGAAAATATAAAGGGATGGAGTACAATTCTGTGAGTTTTCATTATAAATGTTTTGTTTTGTTTTTTTTTAATTTCTTTAAACTTTAAGATTTTTTTAAAAGTTTTATTTCCATGATCAACTTGAAATGGCAACAATACACCAACTCTCAGTGTTACTTTGATAAGCTGTGTAATCACCATGACAAACTTAGGGGTAATTGAGGTACCTGAGACCACGCATTCCTAGGGTTGCTGTTTAGGTTATGAAAAAATTAACTTTAAACCCAGTGATAAAATTGAATTAGTTACACAGTTGCTTCATGTAGCTGTACTCTGTACGTTGTAGTTGTCAAGTCATTGTTGTATAGTAAGGGATAATGGCATAATCAAGAAGGACAGGTGAGATTAGTTGACTCACTGCAGACAAGGGTCCCACTAAATGATTGCATGGAACTGGCTCAGAGTGACAATCACTGGATTGTCTGGTCCGGGCTTATTTATAGACCTGTGTCATATCACAGGAATACTAGTGGGTGTGACATGAAACCATCCTCCATAATCTCCAGGGTATACTAGTGGAGATTTATCTGAACGTATACCCAGGAGATTATCGAGGATACATTAAACAAGCTGACAAAGAAGATTGAAGCAGTGGCCTTAGGCAGATCATCTATCTGTATGTTGTCTATGAGTCATATATTCCTGGATTATTGTTATTTGCTGTAATTATGATCTCAGTGTCAGGCCAGTGTTCATGGTTTTCATCAAGTGATAATAGTTTATGACCTGCAACACTTTTGGTTTTCCTTCCATATTAAGGTTCTAAATCACGAATCATGTCATGTTCAGTGAGGAAGTTAGGACGTGTTTTCCATACAGTGTCTCCTTGTTGCAGATGCCTCGTCTCCAACATCACAACAACCTAATGGTGGAGGTGACTTACTGGCCGACATATTTGGTAACACCCCTAACCCAACCCAACCAGCTCAACCTGTGTCAGGGGGTGCAGGGGCTGCCCTGGGGGTGGGGGCCAACCAAACTCAAGGGGGACAACAGGTCAGTGGTGACAGGCAGGAGTGAATATTTGCTTAAGGATTATAATTTTTAATGATACAAATATTAATGACAGAAATACATATTTTATGTATGATGAAACTTATGCCAAGTGTGTGTGTCTTTGCGGCTGTGTTAATAATATCGTGTTCATGCTGATCACCAAATAGTTTTTCAGTCACCAGTGTTCATTCTGGTTCTAGTTGTGACAAACTGCCTGTTTTGCATGTCAGATACTGCCATTAGTATGTCTTCTTCAGAGCTTTGCTGAAAACTTTGTCACGTGCATGATGATAGTATGTTTATGATCACTCTAGAATGGCACTTTGGAGGCCAACCTGTTCGAAGATGCAGGGACTGACAAGGGAGGATCTGAGAAATCTACTAAGGAATCCATCCTGGCTCTGTATGGTAGTGGTGGCAGTGGCGGCGGACAACAGCAGCAGCCGCAGATGTTTGGTGTGCCAGGTGAGGAGATGTTGCTCTCTGTAAACTACACTTAATAAAACAGACAAGAGTTTTGGAAAATATAATGAAATGAAAGATTTTGAAAATGTTTTTTGTCGGTTCTTTTCATACAAGCCTTAGCAAATCTGAAGTGTTCTGATAGGTGAAGATAAAACATTCAGATCCCTGGCTAAGGGTCTGTGTGTGTGTGCATATACTACTTAAAAGATTCTAAAGACCACCTTATTCTTTCATGTTTCTCAAGTTAATGTGTTATGTCTTGTGATAGAACTGGCATATGACAGATTAACTATAGAACTATAAAACTAGCCAGTGTTGTTTGACTTCTTCAAGTTGTATGGATGATTTTAACTGAAGGCACTCTCCTACCCAGAGTTCCATGCAGCAAGCCAGCATAGTACCTCTGCCACAGGCCAGAAAAATGTGACGATTTGTCACATCTTGCATCGTCCATTCAATATCATGTACATATTTCTTAACTCTTTTATTTTTGACGAGTCTGCACGTCTAATTAAACATCTTTGATAGAATGGTTTAGTTTCACTGAGAAAATATCCTAAAACATGTAACACTATTTCGATTTCGCGTGGCGATCATCCTTTTTTTACATAGGTTGTATGCGGCTCCGTGCTGTCATCGAAGACTTACGGAGAGCAAACGATGCAGCCAGTTTGATATCTAAATATGTACCGTATATGACCGTCCTATAAGCGAATTTTGAGGACCAAAAAAAGCGGTCTGTAGAAAGGGGTCGTCTTATCCATGAGTTACACTTTTCGTCAAACTTTTTCCAGGGTAAAAAAACAACATCGTATCACTTCAGCGTGAACAAACAACAGAAGACGACTTTGTCAGTAGAGGCGTCAAATTTGCAATTAAACATCACTAGACAAGATTAATTACCATTTAAGCTTATAAGTTGGTTTTGCTGGACATTGTTTTATTTGCAGGGATTAAGATTAAGCGTCGTATTTGTCTCGCATTACACAAAGCCGAAATAGCAATCAGCTGTGCACACGTTTCCCGCCGAATAAGTTCAAACATGCACAATAATATAGCGGGACGAATTCTGGCGCAGTCATCAGTAAAATATAATACAGAATACCGTTATTTAACCCAAAGAAATATATCCTAGCATTGTGTAATTTTAGTTACAGTTTTTGCTCTATAAATTAATTAAGATTACCGTGCGTATTTGTCTCAATTACACAAAACCGGAAATAGCAATCAGCTGTGCACGTTTCCCCTTGAACATGTTCAAACATGCACAATAATATAGCGGGATGAATTCTATTGATTGAATACTATTATTTAACCAAAGGGGCACCAAAAGAAATATATCCTAGCATTGTGTAATAGTTTTTATGTAAAAATATATAATTAACACTAAGGTTATATCGGACCATCATGAACGTGGTAAGCACGCGACATGGAACGAGGCGGATAAACAGTTTGTGATTGTTGAATGGGGTAAAATAAGCAAGCCAGTTTGTTGCTACAATAAATATGATATTTAGAGAAGCAAAATATATTATGCATTTTCTGTCAACTACACTTCGTTTCGATCCGTGAGTAGACACAATATATATGACTGTGTATTCTTTGAATAATGTGGACCAAAGTTATAATTATTGGTAACTGCCAGTTGTCTGTCGGATGAGTTTGTCGCGTGTTTATTGTTAGTGGACTATTTTTCTTATTGTCATATATATATATATGAACTTGATGCAAGCAGTGATTGTCCGATATAAAAGGAACACAAACACATGTTGCCACAATACACCGGTAATCTTTATTATGTAATATTCTCACCAACACTTACGTTGTATATCCACTTTCCAAATGGCGTCTCTGTTGTTGATGCAAGCAGTGATCGTTAAAAAGGTAAACAAACACCGGTAATCTTTATTATGTAATATTCTCGTAATGGTGTCTCTGTCGTTGATGGAACATACTTACGGGTACTCTGGTCTCTGTTGGCGCGACCCATGCTAAGTCATGCCATGCGGAGGTTGACTTTTAAGAGATTGTCATGTGACACCTTATTAATGAATTCTAGTTTCATACATTTTCCCTCTCTTGTCATACATACACTGTCCAATATTACTTGTAACAGCTCACTGTATCTTCTGTACACATATGTGTAATGTATGTGTATTTGTGTGTTTTGAGTACTGATCGTTAACCATGTTGATGCTGTATGTGAAGTTGTGCTTTCTTTGGGCTTACATTGCTAACAATACTAACCAACATACACTTGATCCCAGAGTTGATGCTCCGAAATGCTACCTCTAGAATATGATTATTGGTAACCGTCAATCACTATCACGTTATACCGAGGACCCGGTTCCATTAGATATTCATAACACTAGGCTGAACTCTCACGTGCTATCATTGTCGTAGCCTATCTCAGCCGGGGGCGATGAGACAGCCTAGTGGTTGAAGCGTTCGCTAGTTACACAAAAAACCTTGGTTCGATTCCCCACATGGGTACAATGTGTGAAGCTCATTTCTAGTGTCCCCTGCTGTGATATTGCTGGAATATTGCTACAAGTGGTGTAAAACCAAACTCACTCAACAGCTGGAGGAGGACTGTGTGGAACAGGGCCCAGAAGTCGACCTTATTGTAAGGAATGGAACCACCATTTTTGTGTTCCTTGCAATTTGGTCAAATTATGGTGTTGTCAAAGGGTGCAGTCCCTGATCTAAATTTGTCCCTGTGGGTATTTTGGGTTGGAATTGTTCCATGGAGGTTTTGTCCAAACAGACAACACAATGGAAGGGGTACGTTAAGGTGTAAAAGGGATGGAACTTACTCCAAAACACAACTCTGTTTTTGGCTATAAGTCTGTATTATTACCAGACAGATCACTTGATTGTCCTGTCCCGATTAAATCTTTTTCTTCAGTCTACTGTCATACAGATTAAATATCACTGAGTGCAGCATGTAACAGCAGGCACATTCACCTAGATTTGATGTGCTGTGAATTAGTGTTTGAGTGGTTGACTGTATAAGGGCTACAGCGCTGTACATTTAGTGATCGAAGGTTGCCATTAGTCCAGAGGTAGGTGTGTAGGACCACCTGGTGTCAAGGATGTAACATTGTTTGCTTTGAGCTTAGTTTGGATTATCTAGCGTCTTCTTTTGTGAATTCACTGTATGAGCTGTGCTGTTATTGTTAGCAACATCTGCACCAAGCAGTGGAGATTTGCTACAGTTTACACCGAGTCAAGCTGGCCTTCTGCCGACACCCTCACAACTCTCCGTACAATCAGCACCGCACCTGTCGACCAATCAGATGTCAAGTAGTCAGATTTCCACCAATCAGCAGATGTTTCATCAACCAATGACCCAGCCTCAAATGTGTTTAATGCCACAAGGGCTATTTTACTACGATGCAGGTAGAATTACAAATTGGGAAAAGGGTTTGGTGCATTTTGGATTCTCTTGCATGCTGACTTACCTCCCTTGGGATTCACTTGGAATCTATCTTATCTTGCTTATCCTATTCTTCTGATCTTAGCTTGAACTCTGTTAAACAGAACTTGAGATTGCTATGTGTCCCTGCTTAAAGACACCTTGAAATAATACAAACGTTTCATGTGTGAATAAAATATCCCCCTGGCACTGAATGTCCTGCCAGTTATGTTAGCAGAGGAGTCATTTTACCAACAGGTACTTAGAACAGAGCTACAGATAACTTTTTGGGTCATTGAGTTGTGTACTCGCTTGTGTTCATCTCAACTGGGTATCCTAAGTTTCCTTTGAGTAACCAAATAAATTGTACTCACCTCACTCAAACTAAATTGGGTATTTTGCCATTTCCCATTCATTTTTTAAAAATATAATAAAGTTTAAATATTAGTGTTTGTTATTTATATTTGATCTGTAATATCAGAAATGATAAGAAAGACTGCAAGTTATCAAGTTCATGTCTTGAAATAGAACCTCTCAATATACCTAAGTTATTTTATCTCTCCACCAGTACGCAAGCTAAGATTTGACATTTTTGTGTGTACGCATGTAAGATCACAGTTATTGAGTATTTACAAAAATTCAAGCGTACTTGTACCCAATAGCCGTAATAGGAATTGAGTTTTCACATAAAGATTTGCGTAATTTACACAGATATGCAGCTTATTGGTACCACTGCTTAGAACCTGCCTGAAGCTCTGATTTCTTTTTTTTCTTCTTGGTAACTACGTTTTTTGCTGTTAATTTCCCATTTTGTTTTGTTTTGTGTGGAGAAATTCCCTCCATCCCCTGCTTGTGGCTTTTTCTATATGTGAGACTGTTACCTGAACTCCAGTCTTTGTGTTTATACATGGTTGTTCTGAGGTGGGCTCTTTGCTAGCCTGCTGCTCTTGATGCATGTCACATGTTAAAAATCTTTGACAAATTCCATTCAAATTGTGAGGCCTCTTTGCCTTAGGACATGTATGTGTTGGATTCATTTTTCAGTTAGAAATATCTACAGAATGTTATTATCAAGAACGTTTATTTGTTTTGTATGATGTGTTGAGGACTATGATATGTTTTGCCATCCGTGTATAGGGCATTTAAAGCAAGAAACATACTTCTCTCCTTTATGCATGTTAAAATGCAAATTGTTAGTAGTTTTCAATTAGTTATAGTATTACTGACAGTTTCATTTATAATTAACTATTGACTGGTCCTTCTCATGCCCCACTGTTCCAAACCCACAACACACAGGCCCACACAGTGCCACACTGGTCCAAACCCACAACACACAGACCCACACAGTGCCACACTGTTCCAAACTGACAACACACAGACCCACACAGTGCCACACTGTTCCAAACTGACAACATACAGACCCACACAGTGCCACACAGGGCCTCGTTGTTCCAAACCATACACAGACCCACACAGTGCCATACTGTTCCAAACCAACAACAAACAGATACACACAGGCCCACACTGTTCCAAACCCACAACACACAGACCCACACAGTGCCACACTGTTCCAAACCCACAACACACAGACCCACACAGTGCCACACTGTTCCAAACCCACAACACACAGACCCACACAGTGCCACACTGTTCCAAACCCACAACAAACAGATACACCAGTGCCACACTGTTCCAAACACACAACACACAGACCCACACAGTGCCACACTGTTCCAAACCCTACACAGACCCACACAGTGCCACACAGGCCCACACTGTTCCAAACCCACAACACAGACCCACACAGTGCCACATTGTTCCAAACCAACAACAAACAGATACACCAGTGCCACACTGTTCCAAACACACACAAACCCGTGAGATCCGGGTAGAATAGGTCTTCAGCAACCCATGTGCTTGCCATAAAAGGCGACTATCTTGTTCCAAGAGGCAATTAACGGGGATCGGTGGTCAGTTTCAAACACTTGGTTGACACACATGTCATCGGTTCCCCACAACAAACAGATCTATGCTCATGCTGTTGATCACTGGATTGTCTGGTCCAGTGCCACATTGTTTAAACAGACAACACACAGACCCATATAGCCACAATATTGCTGAGTGCGCGTAAAACTAAACTCACTCAATCACTCACTCCCAAACACACAACACGCAGACCCACACAGTGCCACACTGTTCCAAACCCTACACAGACCCACACAGTGCCACACAGGCCCACACTGTTCCAAACCCACAACACAGACCCACACAGTGCCACATTGTTCCAAACCAACAACAAACAGATACACCAGTGCCACACTGTTCCAAACACACAACACACAGACCCACACAGTGCCACACTGTTCCAAACACACAACACGCAGACCCACACAGTGCCACACTGTTCCAAACACACAACACGCAGACCCACACAGTGCCACACTGTTCCAAAATGACAAGAAACAGATACACACAGTGCCACACTGTTCCAAACACACAACACGCAGACCCACACAGTGCCACACTGTTCCAAACACACAACACGCAGACCCACACAGTGCCACACTGTTCCAAACACACAACACACAACACACAGACCCACACAGTGCCACACTGTTCCAAACACACACACACAACACACAGACCCACACAGTGCCACACTGTTCCAAACACACATGTACATACCCACACCAATTTCCAACCTTACTCCTGTACCCGCTTCCAGCCAAAACTACACCCTCTGTAGTCCCATAGTCATCTCACCTGAAAGATGGTGTAATCTTCCAGGTCCAAATAGAAGATATTTTTTCTGTGCACAGTCATGCTCTTTCTCATGTTCATTCAGTTTGGATTTTGCTTGTTTCTTAATGATACATTTATTTATATATTTAGGCAAAATAGTTTAGAATTAAATCTTTTTGGGGGGTTATTTTCCCCTGTTCAATAAGTTTTGATTTTGTAGAGAATGTTAGTATCCTTAACAGTATGTCACTTGAACCTATTTTCCATGCTATATAAAGTTGAAGGTATTGATGCTTATTTTGCTCATGCAAAACGTTTATCCTTTTGTCCATGTTTAATAGAGAGATCAAATACATGCTGACAGGAAAACAAATTGTTCTGTGATATGAAACCAGACATTGTACCTTGCATTGGCCTGGTGAAAAATAAGTAACACAATGATGCTGTACTGTTTAAAAAATGTTAAGGACCTTCAGATTCTTCTCTAATACTGTATTTAATCTATCATGGCATAAGAGATTAACACAGTAATATGAAAGACTAGGAATGTCATGAGACTGTTTTGAGTTGTATATATGACCAACTGAAGGAGACAGGGGATATTAAATTCAGTGGTTGCAAGTTGCTCCTGGGAGTTGTGTCCCTTAAATGTGACACGGTGGTTTTTAAAATGCAGTGAACTTAGGCTCAGTATTACTTGTTACACTGCTATACTGAGTCGCCCATGATGAACTAGTCTTCAGCAAACTAGGATTCAATTGGCAGATTTGACTTGCTGACTTGGCTGAGACATATTTTTGCATCTGATTCACTGTCATTGTATCCCAATCACTATTTTACAGACTCATTCTATACATCTGAAATATTGCTGAGTGTGGTGTGAAAGAAAAATTCAACAAAATTAGGAACTCTCATGAAGACACTCAGTTTTCAATGTCAGGTCATCATTGTGAAATCTGATCTCAGTCAATAACTGAAAGTCTGTTCAAACTGATATATGATTCTGTAATGCTGGATTACTCAAGGACAGTAGATTTATCGAAGTTGATTGTTCATTCCAGGAGGCATGTACATGCCCCAGCAGAACATGGGCATGTATGGAGGTGCCATGCCAGGGCAGCAGGGCATGCAGTATCAACAAGGCATGATGGGAATGCAACAGGTGAGGTCTGGCAGTGATATGAAGGGCAATATGTGTTTTACATATAGAGAATCTCATCCGGGTGTCTTTTGATATCAAATATATCACCACAAGTTGATAAAGTTACAAATATCCAAGGCTTGCCAAGGATATATATATTTTTATCATTGAGTGTTGATATATTTGATATCAAAAGACACCCGGGTGAGATTCTATTTATCATCTCAAATCACTCTTCATTAGTTTTCAGTGATAAATGTACATCACTGAACACGGTACTGCCATTAGACTTGAAGTGCAGCGATGTCATAGCTTTGTGATGTCATCAAGTTCATGATGTCAATGCATTGTCAGGGCATTGTACAAAATCTACTCCTAGGAGATATCGTTTGATCTCACACAAGCAATATCGCCCGTGGAACACTGTTTTGGATGATAAATTCTCATGTTAGACCACATCTATTGTTAAGTGGATTTAGCATCTGTCTAGAAAGTGGATGGTCACTGATCCCGTCCTTTGCACCCAAAGGTGTTAAAAGGGGGTACTTTTTGTTACCTTGCCTGGCGATTAGCTTTAGGGGATAAGCAAGGTCTGTATAATGTGTTTGAGTCAGGTGTCCATGTGTAACTGTCGTATGGTATATCAACCTGCTCAGTGGACTAACGTGATAGGAGGGTCAAGTCCAGACACCCACGTATGTAGACAGGCAAACACTGTATGTGAGTTTCATTTATTATTTCACAATGGACTATTTTGCTGTGTACTTGAAATTATGATTTATACTTTTAGTGCATTTTTTTAAATTAACACAAAACCAATTCTGTTTCTGGTTCTAAAGGTTAGATACTGAAATTACCAATGGAAAAATGTCAAATGTCAAATTGATAGAAAATGTCAAATGAATAGACATTTATATTGTATGGATTGATTGGAGGTTCACTTCCTGAAGTGAAATAGTCGTTGAGCAAATATTCAAGAAATATGTAAGTTTTTGTATGTCATATTTTCAGTCAAATGATTGAAGACAAGCTTGTCTTAGAATAGACATTGTATCTATTAGAACATTGTTACCCTCACAACAGAATAAATATAACCCATTTCCATTTCCAGCCAAACATGTATGGGATGGGCCAGATGTAATGCCAGGGGAATGATGGGGGTCAGCAAAGCTGGGGTAATATGATGATGGGAGGACAGCAGCAGATGTTCCCCAGCAGCAGCAGCAACAGCAATAGCAACAGCAGATGCAGCAGACCAGTATTTCTATTCTCCATCCCCTGCTGACATGAAGCTCTGTATGCATGTTGTCAGACACAACGCTTTTGGTTTTCTTGACAAAATACTGTAAACGCGTGGTGCAATTTTGGCCCGGATTGACAGTTTAGACTACATCATGCAATTATTCAGGGGTAATGCCGGAACTGCCAGCTGTCTCTTTGTCAGCCACTAATAGCAGTGAAATCAAACAGAGTGGCTTAACCTGTCAGGCGGTGTTTATGATCACAGGGAAATCCCTATCTGGCGATATACTAGTACACAGTAATCCATTTACTCCGGAAGAGATGAAAAACACATCAGTCTTATGTTCGAAATTCTGGCGATCTGGCGAATTAACTTCTACTGTATATAAGCAGCAAACAAGCAATGAGATGATTGAGTGTTAAGTGACTATTAAACTTCATGATGTACTGGTAAATAAAATCTTAATGAATAAATAAAATACCATTATTTCTTTCCGAGTCGTTTCATGGTAATCTGTTTTGTATCAAACCATCTGTCATGTGACCAATTTCCATCCCCAACACACATTGCTGTTTTACAATTCAGCGATGGGATTTCGCTCATTATTTAATTATGTTTTGGGAAATCCATTACAGCGACAGTTAAGTATGATTCTTTATGCTACTATCAGTCGTCATTTTAAGATTCCCGTAGATTTCTGTCTTCAAACTCGATGTGTTATGGTAACAACTCAGGGCGAGCGTTGACAGGTTTATTCTTATTATAAATTTTCGCTAAAAATGTTTTGCGCGAAAAGCGCGAAAATAAAACCTGCGCGAAATATAATACGTTCACAGTACACCAATTGCTTGTCATTAGACACAGCCTTTGGAGATTCCATTACAAAATGGTTGCCACATGCTTGTCAATAGACACTATCGTTTTGGATCCCATGGCACGTCTATCTATGATATATGTACCAGTGTATGAAATAAGCCAAAAACCCAGCCAGACATCAGGGCTCGTTACTTCCAAATTGTTACCAGCCCAAAATGGATTTAATCAAACCAGACACCAAGAATTCACTCAGATGTATGGAACATCTAAAATTTGTACCAGACCATTGGGTTGGCTAGCTGTAAATGTAGACCGTCCGTCAGAAATCTAGCCCGTCTCGGGCGGTCGGACGGGCCTTATTTCATACACTGATATGTTCTCAATATGATTGTCTTAATATGACACCATCCATCAATATCCACCAGCATGTGACACCATCCATCAATATCCACCAGCATGACACCCTATTCACTGTGAATCCATGAAGATCTAAGCTAGAATTGGTCTTCAGCAACCCGTGTTTGTTGTAAGAGGTGACTCACAGGATTGGATGGTCATGCTCGCTGACTTGGTTGACACGTCATTGTATCCCAATTGCCTAGGTCAATGCTCATGCTGTTGATCACTCGATTATTTACAGACCGCTGTATTATAGCTGGAATATTGCTAAGTGCTGCATTAAAGAACAAACTAAACAAACAAATCCTGTTCACAGTTTACTCTAGGTCTGTTTTCTACTGTTTATTTCTGATTAATGGGGCGGTGGGGTAGCCTAGTGGTTAAAGCGTTGGCTCGTCACGCCGAAGAAGACCCAGGTTCGATTCCCCACATGGGCACAATGTGTTAAGCCCATTTCTGGTGTCCCCCGCCGTGATATTGCTGGAATATTGCTAAAAGCGGCGTAAAACTAAACTCAGTCAGTCAGTCTGATTAATGATTCAGGTTCAAATTAATTATGACACCATTAATCTGTGTAGAAGTTTGACACACCCATTCACTAGTTACTAGATTGTCAATCTCTGGTTTAATTTTGATTAATGATATACAGATTTGAATTGATTTTAACACCATCAATTAGTATGCACCAGTCGACATCCTATTCACTGTTACTTCATTCTTGTTTCAGATGCAACAACAGATGGCTGCAATGAAGGTGGGCGGGGCAGGACAGATGGGAAGCATGCCTCAGGGTGGGGCAGGAGGATGGGGGTCACAGAACTCTGGCCAGACATTATCCACAAATCTATGGCAATGATCCTAGCTGTAGTGTAGCATGGACCAGAGTTTTCATGGCTGTCGGGAACAGACAGATGAAATTGAAAATGACATTCCATCAGTATCACAACCATATTTCCATCTGCGATTCTGGAAAGACACGAAGTAAAGTGTATGGAACCATGGAACAAGTTAACGAATACCTCTGTTGTGGTGTATGCCAAGGCAGTTAACAGATAATATATGCTGTTGTTTGTAAATATTTATTGTACAGTTACTGAAGAGGACTCTTTGTTGATTTTATTTCATCATTTGTAGCAATCAATATTGATTTCACCTCACTAGTGCCATTCTTGTAATTATCTCCCTCACACACACTGTCACCCCTCCTCACAATCACCCTCCATATGGCGATATGTCATTAATCAGGGCTAGAATTTTTTTTTTTTTTTTTTAATCTGCTACAGAGTTTCCGTCTACCTTATGGAAAAAGTGATACTCCGCAAGGAAATGTCACAGGTCCAACATGAATTTTACTAAGTCTCAGACTTGCGGACTTTGAATTTTGAAACCTGTTTCTGTAAATGCATCATTACTTATCGGGGGGAAGTAACTTGTATCTGTGTCCATTTTCTTGTTTGTGGATGTTTACTGATTACGTTCTGTATGTCACAAATATCATTTGTCATAGTTTTAGAGTAATGCATGGCGATGAAATGGGATTGTCACAATCATTCATGAGTGGGAATGTTACATTGAATTTCGAAAATCAAATGTAATACAGTGAGACCCCGGATATCTGGACACATTCGGTTTTACGTAAATTGTCCGGATAACTGAATATCCGGATATCTGTCATCCAGGCTTACCGTATATTGCCGTCTATAAGCCGAATTTTTAGGGTAAAACAAGCAGTGTGTAGAAGGGGGTCGGCTTATCTATGAGTTACGCTTTCATCAAACTTTTGTCCAGGGGTAAGAAAACAACATTATATCACTTCGTGTGAACAAACAACAGAAGACAACTTTGTAGTAAAGACGTCAAATTTGCAATTAAACATCACTAGACAAGAATATTTACCTCTTAAGTACTAAGTTGTTTTTTGCTGGGCATTGTATTATTTGCAGGGATTAAGATTACTGTGTGTATTTGAGCCGGAAATAGCAATCAGCTGTGCACACGCGTTTCCCGGCGATCAAGTTCAAATATGCACTATAATATAGTAGTTATTTGAACAGTAGTGAGCATACACTTCTGGTTTAAAATCACTTCCAAAATTACATAGTTTTGATTTGCCACGTGGGACACTCGCGCTTCACTTCACACGGTCAGCTGAAGATCAAAGCTTCGTGCGGATAAGTGAGTCAATTTTGTGTTGATTTAACCGGTTGGTTTGTAAAATTTACCGTCCGGGAATGGAAACCACATATTCGTTATAGACAGTCACTTTTATAACGTAAGAGATTAATTTTTTAATGAAAATTGACCGGAAGGCGAGGTTTCCGGATATTTGGGGTCCGGGTATCGGGGTCTCACTGTAATTGTATTGATAGTCACAAATATCGTAATGAGCAGTCTTTTCAAATTGCTGGGAACTGCTATGCCTTTCATGTTGACCATTATTCAATGCGGTTTTCAGAACGATGCTCATCTCAAGGCACTGCTTTTATGAATACTCTTTTCTGGCTGTTCTTGATGACATGGTAGCAGAATATCTGTCAGAACTCCTAATTTGTTTCAGCGATGGTTGTTTGAAACACAAGGTATTAGTTTAACAACCTATTACAATGCTGGTATCATCAACCTAGTCAGTGTCGGGTCAGTGTCAGCTGGGATGGTGACCAGGTAGGTTCACTCCTACCGTCAGTAATGTCATGCCGTCACCATAGTGTTGCTGTCGAGACCTGTTCATTAGGGAAATGGATGGTCCAGTCTTAGTGACTGGCATTTGCTGTGATTTCCTCATGTGGGTCAGAAGTAGTCGATGGTTGGTTGAAATCACAGATCATGATGTCCAACATGTTGGGACATAAAGTACCTGACATACTGTTTAAGTGGTGACATGAATACAGACATATATACAACAGTCTTGTAAATAAGCCATGAATAGTCATGCAGGATGGTTGGCACTTTTCCTTCTCGAAGGTATATTGACCGATTTCAAAAGAACTGGTCATTTTTTAGGGTTTGGAATTATGGAATGTCTGATATTCTGAGTGTCATTAGTCGTAGCAGTGGTTGATGTGGACTAGGTCTGTGAGGACAGTTCGCCGGTATGAAGGCATAGTGGTTTCAATTGTATTCATAAGTAATTCTGTGATTCCTGTCAAAATAGACTTGTGGGCAGACTTGTAGTTCTTCACATATGTTGTGAAAAAGCTGCATGCTGTAGTTCTGAGAACTGGCGAGAGTTGCTTCTTTCAAATTCTTCTCCACGACTCATTCACATGCTCAAACAGTATCATGTAGTTGTACCATGTGTTCTGTGATAATTGTTGATGGCTCCACCTACACGGGACAAAGTGGAACGTACAGTTCCAGAACACTTGACCTCTTCAGCATCTTTGTTTTGGTACCAGTGTGGACACCTTCAACAGATCAGGATTAGTTTCTGGATTTTGATTTTAGAGCTACACTTCTCTAAAGATGTTAAGGACCACAATTGCTTTCATTTTCGATAGTTAATTCGGAGATAAACACACTATATTGTTAAATCAGAGGTATATAACAAATTTATAATAGCTCTAAAAACATTTTTAAGACCCCACGCTATTGGTTCAGTTTTAAATCAAATTTAGAGCTGTAATAATTTTGTTATATACCTCAGATTTTCCAACAGTATGTTTATCTCCATACTACCATAACCATGTTATTAAGATTTAAAAAAAATACATACGTGTTGGAAAATCAGAGGTATATAACATGATTATAGACCTCTGAATGACTTAAATTAACCAATCACAATCCAGTACTTACCGAAGTCATGGTAGAATCTGTCATGGCCTGACAGCTTAACTATAGTAATATGAACACATTCAGTGGTCCTCAATTTCTCTTGAGTAGTTTATACTGAGACCGAGATCCATCTTGGAAAAGGATCTGTGCGAGTCTGTTTTTATCATCTTTGCACCACAGTTAAGTGGTATATCACAAACTCATTAGAGTGGTAGAAGTACATGAAACAGGTGATTGTAATGGCTGTAGTATGGACTTCAGTCAAAGCGATGGTAGCACTAGGATGATCATTACTCCCATACTTTAACAAAGCGTTACGACTGTTGTAGCGCTACGTTCGCCTTGAGGAACAGGGCCCTGGGCATATTTCTACTCATGTTCAACACTTGGTTGTGGCTGTTGTACCTCAGTGACAGTTAATGTTCAGACCGTATTGTTTGGTTTCTATGTAGAAAGAGGCCCAGGTACTAATTATGAATACAGTATTGTACATGTTCAGCATCCCCTGTGATCCTTCAGTAATTTCACAGTCAACACTGAAAACAGTGTAAAGTAAACTACAAAACTGATATTAAATTAGGACATATTACCTGACTGGAATGGAGTTGAATTGTCTAAATACATAGTGGTACAGTGTTCTTAAAACCCCTCATGTCTTCTGCATGCTCTTTGTGATGGAACACTAAGGTTGTTAGTTGTGTTTCTGTGGTACATCATTTCCCTATTTATATGTAGTTCCAGGAGAGATCCTGTTTATGGGATGTAGACGAGGCTGGACATTTGACAATTTGTCAGCATCTGAGGTACTGTCTGAGAATTTCATCCTTTGATATTATATAGGCAGTAGATATTGATGAGTTCCATGTACTTGTGAGTCTTCAGCCAATCCTTGTGGTTCAAACAGATAGGATAAGTCTAGTCAGTTTATTGTATGTTAAAGACTTAAACATCATTACTATTGCAGAGACTACTTTTGATTGTTATAAAATGTTCAGTTATAATTGCCAGATTTGAGGGGGGACACATGGAAATCAGTTTTCTCCCTTGCCCAGATCAGGATTTGAATCCCAGTCAACCTGATTATGATCCTTGGTTTGTCAGCACCATGTTCATCATCGGTTTTACCCAGGTCAGTAACCTTCATACCTTCATGCTGTTCTACAACATGGTAATTCTGTTAGGAGCAGTGTGAATCTGGATAAAAGTCAGTACCATGTCCGTCACTGGTGTTGATTGACTGACCTTCATACCTTCTCTTCTACAACATGGTAATTCTGTTAGAAGCAGTGTGAATCCGTTGATAAAAGTCAGTAGGAACCAGACCAAGATGGTCATCTCCTGCTATGCAGACTTGTCCTCATGCAGGCTTATGGAGGCTGTTTGTCATGCAGATTTGTCATGCAAGAATGTTGTGATCACTTGTCATGAAGGCTCTTGACAAACTTGTCATTATCACATGTCATGCAGACTTTTAGCAGGTTTATCATGACCACTTGTCAAGCTGGCTTACGGAGGCTTTTTGGTAGGTTGGTCATGCAGACTTGTCACAAGGTCTGTCATGATCACCTGTCATGCAGACTTGTCACAAGTCTGTCATAATCACCTGTCATGCAGTCTTGTCACAAGGTCTGTCATGATCACCTGTTATGCAGACTTGTCACAAGGGCTGTTTGTATTCCTGAAATTCAGAGAACCTATCAACAGCTGCTAAATATCCTGTTTGATGAGACACTCACCACTGTTGAGACTCCCTGTGCTGTGTTACTCAGTGCTAGCATGCTTTCTCTGTTCCACATGTTGTTTAGGTTTATCTGTGAGCCTTTTACTCTTCATACAACCCTTCTACAGCTTCTATGTGTCTGTCTGGCTGTCGTTCACATACATCTTGCTGAGAGGTCTGTGTGCAATGTTAGTGTAGCGTCTCAGCATATCAATGACTCATTGTAATCGAAGATGTTTTAGCGAAAAGGTTTTAATGATGTAAATTGAAATTTGATGTAGAAAATCAAGGCTGTAGATATTTTATCTACTGAAACTGTAAATGTCAATAAATCATAAACTTGATATTGTTGTCTGTTTTAATTTCATGCAAGGTTGAAGAATATGATTGTCAAGCTGTAAACAGCAGGTTCGAATCTTACTTCGCCCTGATTGTGTCATGGTTTGTCAGCACCATACCTGTGCTCATGGATTTCACCTAAGTGGCAAATGTCAGACACTGCCATCACTTCCAGCTTTCTGTACACACACTTTCATGTAACTGGAATGCTGTTCAAAGAGACTTTTCACATTGTACCCATGTGGGGAATTAAACCCAAGTCTTCAGCATGATGAGTGAACGCTTTAACCACTAGGCTACCCCACCACCCCTCTCTTGTTATATAATCTGGCAATATCCTTCCACAATTTGTTCAGGACAATCGGACTATTTTCCTGATGTATATTCCATTTCTGTGTGTGTTTGTTTGGTTAATGCTACATGATGCAGTATACCAGGTATATGATGATGGTATGTATACAAGAGTCATCAGAAGATGACGTATCCCCCTGGCCCCCACATATTTGAAAGAACAAATCATCTGACAGTTACTTAAAGTCCAGCTTGACTTTTTTTTAAACAAAGTCCAAATCATTTCAATGGAAATCATGAGAAATATTAATGCCAAAAATCTGTAAATAGCAAAAGGCACCACTTCAAGATCTGTCTCATATATCTGCCAAGTTTTGCTGAAAGATATTAAGAAGTTTTCCAGTTGTGCTATGGAAACGAAGCCCACCCCTCCCTTTTGAGACTAAGTCCGAATCGTTTCCATGGAAACCAGAAAAAATAAAAATGCCAAAAATCTGCAAATAGCAAAAGGCACCACTTAAGGTTCTGTTTGATATATCTACCAAGTTTTGTTGAAAAATATTGAACGGTTCTTGAGTTATGCTCCGGAAACGAAGCCCACCCCACTTCAAGACTAAGTCCAAAACGTTTCCATGGAAACCGAGAAAAATAAAAATGACAAAAATCTGTAAATAGCAAAAGGCACCACCTTAGGTTCTGTTTGATATTTCTACCAATTTTTGTTGAAAAATATTGAAAGGTTTTGGAGTTATGCTCTGGAAACAAAATGATTACGGACAGACGGACGAGGCGACGACTATATCCCCCCGAATTACATGCCGGGGGGATAATAATCAAGAAAACTTGATGTCACTTTAGGAGAGTATGGGCTGCTGTATTCTAACCCAGATCTTCACAGGTGTGAGAACATATATTTGTTGTGAATTTAAGATACAGCTACATTTCACTTCAGACCTTACAACTTACAAATGAGTATTGAGCTGAATATCGTATTCTTTATAACTATGCAATATTTTTAATGTTTTGTCTGAACTAGTAATTCATGCATTCCCTCTTCACAAGAACATTAAAACTGTGGTGCTTATTTTCATGTTTGGAAGGATGATCCTCACTGAAGTTGAAGTACAGTAATATGGTGAAGGTTTCACAAGCCAACAACATCTGCAGAGTTCTCAATTAAGGACATTCACGTTCGTATTTTCATAGCTCCATAATAACTCGATGATTCACCATTAAGCATATCTGTAAAGCTGTTGCAAGAAAGCAGTATATGGTCGACAGATGCTGTATTCACACGTCTGCAAGCCTCATCATCCTCTGAATGGATTGATTTTGTTTTGTTTGGTTTGGTTGTTTAACGCTCAGGAATATTCCAGCTGTATGGCTGTGGTCTGTACATAATTGAGTCTGGACCAGACAATCCAGTGATCAACAGCATGAGCATCAATCTATGCAATTGGGATACGATGACGTGTCAATCAAGTCAGCGAGCCTGACCACCCGATATATAACTGATATATAATATATATAACTGATCAAATGTCTGTTGACCCTCAGGCAGGCCCATGTTGCCACAGCCGAGTCAGTCTTCACACTACTTTGAGCAATATTTCATTAACATCACAGCTGGGGATAACAGGTTCTGATAATCACATTGTTTGTGGGAGAATGAAACACAGATCTTTTATGTAATGAGTTCATGGCTGCTGGGCCACCCTGACACTTCAGACCAACCACATTCCTTTCTCAAGACATCACACATTGTGTGAGAGTTGAACCCAGATCTTGAATGTAATGAGTTCATAGCTGCTGGGCCACCCTGACACTTCAGACCAACCACATTCCTCTCTCAAGACATCACACATTGTGTGAGAGTTGAACCCAGATCTTGAATGTAATGAGTTCATGGCTGCTTGGCCACCCTGACACTTCAGACCAACCACATTCCTTTCTCAAGACATCACACATTGTGTGAGAGTTGAACCCAGATCTTGAATGTAATGGGTTCATGGCTGCTGGGCCACCCTGACACTTCAGACCAACCACATTCCTTTCTCAAGACATCACACATTGTGTGAGAGTTGAACCCAGATCTTGATCACACATTGTGTGAGAGTTGAACCCAGATCTTGAATGTAATGAGTTCATGGCTGCTGGGCCACCCTGACACTTCAGACCAACCACATTCCTTTCTCAAGACATCACACATTGTGTGAGAGTTGAACCCAGATCTTGAATGTAATGAGTTCATGGCTGCTGGGCCACCCTGACACTTCAGACCAACCACATTCCTTTCTCAAGACATCACACATTGTGTGAGAGTTGAACCCAGATCTTGAATGTAATGAGTTCATGGCTGCTGGGCCACCCTGACACCTCAGATCAACCATATTCCTCTATATAGAGCAAAAGCTCTATCAATTTCAGTTGCCTGTTCCTTTAGATTGAGTGAGTTTAGTTTTACGCCACACTCAGCAATATTCCAGCTATATGGCAGCGGTCTGTAAATAATCAAGTCTGGACCAGACAATATAGTGATCAATAGCATGAGCATTGATCTGCGCAACTGGGAACCTATGACGTGTTAACCAAGTCAGCAAGCCTGACCACTCGATCCTGTTAGTCGCCTCTTACGACAAGCATGCGTTACTGAAGATCAATATTCTAAACCGGACCTTCATGGGTACCTTTTACTGAAGAGATCAAGAAGGAACAGTTTAATAAAGTCAAATTAAAGCCAGACCAATTTTATTTCTTGTTTTACGGATACGCCGGTCGTAGTTTTTGAAGAATAAGAAAAAAATAAAAATAATTTTCTATGCTCAAAAAAAGAAAATCCTAATGTTTTTATTGGCCAAAAATGTAAACTTACAAGAAGATTGTTTTTTTGCCCCATATACACTTCATAAATTGCCAAAAGTAAACTACTTTTAGTATTTAGAAGGAATAAACCTTTTACTGGTGATTATTTTTTAAAATTTTTTTCCCTCCTCATTAGCCTTTTGGTTTTCTGAGGACAAAAATCCAAATAACAAGAAATAAAATGGGTCTGGCCTAATGGCATTTAAAGAGAAAATCTGAAGTACCCCTGACCCAACCCTTATCAGATGAGGCCAGCTCTGAATGACAAAAATGTTACATGTCATCAACTCAGATGTAAAAATGACAAAGATGTATTTATATTCAGCATATTTATTACAATGTTCTGGCCTCCTGGGTACAAGGAATGGTTATAGTGTCTGTTACTATTCAGTATTCTGTTAACATTCAGGTTAAACTGGGAAACATTCATGTGAACCTGTATATAATAGGTAAAAGCAACTAAATGAATCTTACATAAGCAGCAACTAATTCTTGTAATCAATTATGTAAGATCACACATAATACACAAATAATATTTTTGTCAGTTATCTTGATTTTAAGAGACATGTTCTTCAAAATGATATGAATGATATGACTGTGGTTTAACACTGATTTTAGCAATATTCCAGTAACATCATGTCAGGGTATACGAGAAATGGGCTTCACACATTGCACCCATGTGGGAAATCAAACCCATGCCTTTGGTGTGACAAGCAAACACTGTAACCAACAGGCCACCCTACAACCTCCACAGGGGTAGGTGGCAATGGATATATCAGTAGTCCTTGTAACAGCTTCTATCTGCACTGGTTTGTATTACACAATTAACTGTTTCAATATTTCAATATTTTTTTCAGCAATGCTTTGAAAATGTCTCAAAAAGCAAACCTTAACAGTTTTAAATATATCTTCAATATCTGGCTTTATTACACAAAAAAGTTAAAGAAAAGCCTGATTTTGAATATGCCTATAGTTAGTATGGAGGGTGGCTATTGCAACACACAGACATCCAGTGTGAGTGCTCCTTAACTTGTTATGAGTAGTATAGCTACTGTAACATGACAAATCTACACTTCACCAATGACTCACAAACACTGAGTTATCAGCACTCACTACTGTAAAAGGTACTTTGATGATTTGTGATATGATACATTTCCCCTATTACTAAGCTTGATACCATAATTACATTAAATGCTCTGTTAGCAGTGATATATATCAGAATACCAACCATTTTTAAAAAAGACATAGAAATTAACATTTTTGACCACAGCAATTATTAACCCAAGGAAGAACATTTTCACCAATCAAATAGGGTTTCAAAATGGAATATACAAAGTTCACTTAAAAATAAAATAAAAAGAAAGCGGTTATTCTTATCTTTGTTTTATTCAATCTAAAAACTCTAGACCACACAATATATTTTGATTTATGAGAGGTTATGCCATGGACATGTTTCACATAATGAATAATACATAGGCATTCAAGGCCTTTGCTGATATCAGATACCAGTTGTTAGTTATATACATTGAGTCCCTAACTGACAAATTCAGCTTCAGGATGATCTTGTGTGGCACACAACTCCATACAAATATCTGTCTACATCAAAGGGGCCGGTGGGGTAGCCTAATGGTTAAAGCGTTGGCTCGTCACGCCGAAGACCCGGGTTCGAATCCCCACATGGGCACAATGTGTGAAGCCCATTTCTGGTGTCCCCCGCCGTGATGTTGCTGGAATATTGCTAAAAGCGGCGTGAAAACCAAACTCAGTCAGTCTACATCAAAGTAATTTTACTCTGTGCCCATGTGAGTGAGTGAGTTTAGTTTTACGCCGCTTTTAGCAATATTCCAGAAAT